AAAAAAAAAAGCCACATGCCTGGCATGATGACACACACCTATATTTCTGTACTTGAGAGGCTGAGGCAGGAGGGTCACTATGAGTTCAAGGCCAGCCTGGGTTACAAAGTAAGTTTAAAACCAGCCTGAACTACATAGGGAACCATGTCTCAAAAAGACAAAAGACAAAAACAAAACAAAACAAAAACACCCTTAGGACTTTATTGAGTATCTCATAGCAAAGAGGAGATGATTAAAAATATCCAGAAGGAAAAATATCCAGAGATAGAATGGTGTACACATTTGTGATCCCAGTTTTCTGGATACACAGCCAGAGGACCAAAAGGTTAGCCCAGTCCGCAGGAAGTCTAGCAACTTAGGGAGACCCTATCTCAAAATAAAAAATTTAGAAAGGTCTGGCCATATATCTCAGTGTGAAGGCCCTGGGTTCAATCCCCAGTATCACAGAATAAAACAACCCAAGTGCTGAAGTAGTGGGACACTGAATTTCCATAAAGTGCTAAGGAAGACAGACTCACATTCAAGGCTAAGCTATGGTTGCACCAATGCGGAGCAATTTCAGGGAAGACCTGAGGGCATCCACAGAGGTGCGAGAAATAGGCAAGTGCACAAGAGTCACTACCGGGCTCCCAGGCCTAGAAAAGTGTGAATGGGAAAGTGAGGTGTAACAAGTACCACCTCAAGTCTGACTATAGTTTGTTCAGCCCAGTGTTTTGTAGCCGGAGAGAGAATATTTTGTTCAGTGATTTTTAGAATTAAAATATGTGCTCCGTGTTGACATATATTGGGGAGCTCCCTGTGGTCTCACTCCCCACCAGTCAGTGCTGCTCATGTGATGCTCCCCATTCTCAGCAAGTCTCAGAGCTAAGCCCAAGGCAGGGCTTCCTCTGCCAACCTGCCCAAGTGATGCCCATCATTCAAGATTAGATTGGTGAGCAGAGATGGGCTCTGTCTGTTGGAAAATGAAGCAAGCATTATTTAAGTTCCTCTTCACTTAATGCATCAAGCTAATCTGCCAAGGTATTTCTGTATCACAAGGGACCATTTGCTAGAAGCTTGCATGGCAAAAGCATTTAATGTTTACTGAGTGAATGTATAATAAAGCTGTGTCACTGAACACTTAAGTAAACATGGCTTATCAGAGGGAAGGGGGTGTGGTGTCAGGAAGGAAAATCACGCCTCACTAATCTCCTAGAGTTCTTTAGCACATAAATAAGCATATGGATAAGAGGGAACCACAGAACTCAGTTTCATTTGACTTTCAAAAACCTGTGAGAAAATCCCACTTCAACGCCTGTTTTTAAAAAATTGAGTCACTAAGGGTTGTTTTGTCATGAATATGGAATTGGCTTAAAGACCATAAACAAAGCTAAAGATAAGTGGATACGTTCCCAGATGGAAAATTATAAACAGTGGGGTTTCCTCAGATCTGATCTATGATGGGGCTTTTGCTAAGCTTGTGAATGACCCAGATTGAGAAGTGGATATTGAGTCCCTGAGTTCAGGTAATACCTCATTCTTCTGGGGAGAATTTCAAGTTGATAGCAAGGCAATTCCAGTTGGAGCTGAATAGTCATGTGTTTGGGCCATGCCGTATGAAAAAGAAGTGAAAGATACAGTTCCTGGCCTTAAAGAATTAAGAATCGTGGCTAGGTATTTAGCTCTGCGGCATAAGTGCCTGCCTGCCAAGCGTAAGGTCATGAGTTCGATCCCTGGCACAAAAAAAAAAAAAAAAAAAAAAAAAAGGGAATTAATAAGCAAGTTAGGATAAAAGCCGCGGCTTCCTTTGCTGTTAGGCACAGTGGGGACAACTGCAAACACGAGCGAGGCATCAGAGTTCAGAGATGGGGGACGGCAGATGTCAAGAGGGGTGAGGACGACCTCTTGGAGGAGGCAGAGTTTACAAAGATCTTGAAGAACAGCCAGGGTTCGGATGGGTGCAGAGGAGGGTGAGAGCTTTCTTGCTAAAAGCTGCTACTGAACGTAGTCCTTGTCTTCCCTGCCAAGCACTGCCCAGGCGCAGGGCTTAAATGCATGATAGCTTTACCTCAGTCTGGTAATGTAGGTGGTATCCCCATTTTCCAAAGGAAGAACCAGAGGCGTAAGAAAAGAAGTTAGCTCCAAATGACATTGCTGATAAACACGAGACCCGCTGTCTGGTAGCCTCCCATTCCGGGGGCTGTCGGCACAAGGTCCAGGGGCAGCACTGTCTGGAAGCCAGCTGAGGTGACACCTGGTATTGGGGTGCAGTGAGAGCAGGGTGGTGCATATGGAATGGATCTAAGCTACAAGGGCCCTTAATTTCTCTGGGAAACTTGAACTTAATGCTGCAGGCTCAATCCTGTGTTGAGTGGAAAAGGAAGGAAATTGAAACCATACTCTGGAATTGGGGGCCCTAGACCTACAGCCTTAGCCAAGCGGGCTGGAAGAAATAGAAGAAGCCAGTGGGTGTCTTCGGAGGAGAAATTGGCCAAGCTGAGGGTGACTTTATTTGGTGCCCTATGCCGGACCATGTGATTAGCCTCATCTGCATCTAGCAGAGCCATCAGAATGTGGCCCACTTCCGGGTGACGTCCTGGGAGTCATCTGAGCCATATGGAGATATAGACAGTTGTCACATCCCATCTTGCCCACTCAGGGACTCAGGTGACCTTAGGAAGTATGGTGGGTTCCTGAGCACTTTTGTCACTGCTCAGGTGGGACATGGTGTCCGTGCCCTTTGAATCACCGCTTCCCTGACTTCTTTGGTAAACACAGGGGTGACAGATCTCAGTCTCTGAGGTCACAGCAGGACAGAGGGCCTTTGGGGGTCTGTGAGCAGGGATATAGTGTCACAGTGTTTGAGTGTTCTGGGGCCATGTGGTGTCTGGAACTGGGCATGATGCTCTGGGTTGCAAGATGAGTGCATTTCGGATGAATCATCAATTATTTGATTAAACCTTGACACCTAAAACTGTTACCTGAAGCAACCATTTCTAGCAGTTCAGTGGAAAGACCACTAAATTTGGTCTGAAGGTGACAGCATATAAACAAACATTTGCTATTCCTTGAGTTAGGTGTGTGACCAAGGTTGGTACCTGAACTTCTCTGAGCCTTAGTTTCCTTGGCCATGAAATGAACACGCTGTTGGTACCAGTCTCATAAGTTCTTGTGATGATGAAAAACAAAACAAAGGCAAACAACTAAGTGGCAAAACCCTCTGGATGTCTCAACTGGCACATCGTGCAGCGGGACTGCCGCTGCCCCAGACACCTCACACACTGCCAGCTTTCCCTGTGTGTGTGCCCTGGGCGGCCCGAGCTCCCCACTGCAGGGACCTCACCATGCTGCACCGGTCTCTGGGGGATGAAGTACCAGCCTGCCCTGCTCATTACCCATGTGCGCCTTGCAGGCTAGAGGGTGCTTCCACCATCTCTATAGTCAGCACCAAGACACCGCTTGGCCAATGGTAGATGTGCAAAAAGTTTGACAGTCATCAACAGAAGAATGAGTACATTACCTACTACCCCTGTGAGAACGGAAAATGAACTTTTATTTGACATCTCCCCCCCACCAAAAATGATTAGTACAGAATTGTCTGGATTCCTACAAGCATCTGTTTAGTAACTCACTTTAGACTTTTTCCAGGAATCAACATAAACACCGTTGGTTTTCTCTGCTAGCATTCCTATCTCCACTTTTTGAAAATATGATCAACGCCAAGCTCTGCCATTTTCTGTTCTCTTTCCAAATTTTTTGAGATTTTTCATCAAAGTTTAAAAGGAGATATACTTTGCACTTTCCAAAAATGATGGGGTGCACTGGTTGGAGAACAGAACTACAGAGGTTGCTTGGGGTCAAATTTCCCTACTAATGTAGTTTATCTTCCCTTTCTGACCTTAATACTTTTATATTTTCTGGTACTCTTTCATATACTCTTAATAGCAAAAGTTATAGGCATAAGACCCTTGAAACTTTGATTTGTTGCTTTTAATTTTCTCGTAAGTTCTCAATGTCCTCAGTTACCTGGTTTACACTCTCTGAATTCCTCTAGGATTTTTTTTTTTTTTTGTTTTTTTATCCTTTTGAGACAGGGTCTCTCTATGCAGTTCAGGCTGGCCTTAAGCTCACTTTGTAGCCAGGCTGGTCTCAGACACGCAATGATCTTCCTGCCTCAGCCTCCTGTGTACTGGGATTACAGGCATGTGCTGCTTCTCCCATCTGTTCCTCTGGCTTTGAGCACAGCTTTAGAAAACTTTCCTGCTTTTAGTACTTTTGTTAACCTCAGCTTGTCTTGAGTTTCAACTTCTTGAAGTGTTTCTTAGATGTAAATGCCACCTTTCTGTAGCAGTTCCATACACTCTTCTTCTAAAATCCAAGGTCATGGGCTGGGGATTTAGCTCAGTGGTGTAAGTGTCTGCCTGGCAAGTGCAAGGTCATGAGTTTGATACACGGTATGGGACGGGGGAGTAGCCATGTTATAAAATCCAAAGTTCACTGGGAAGTGTAGTTTTTAGTAGAACTGACCTAGACCCTATAAAACTAGGGTCCATCATACCCCTAGTGGGTCTGTCACGTGAGCCTTTCATCTTATGAATGGTCCCCTAGGCCAGTCATATGCAGAGATGTGGTATTTATACACCAGGTAGTACTACTGTGCTACAGAAGATGAAATTTGAGTCATTTTAGGAAAATGAATGTGTGGGCCTTGAGGTCATAATAAGTGAAATAAGTTAGTTTAAATATCACATGGTTTCTTTTATATGAAAAACTCAAAGTATAAATACTTTAAAGAGCAAAGTATGGGATGGATAATAGGAATTAGAGAGACAGATCTTTTGCAAATGGGAAAGGGGTCTTGGGGTGGCAGGAACGTGGAGGGAGACCGGGAAGGGAAGAAGTAAAAAGAATTACGGTGGCCATGTACTTGTACCAACTCTGCAAGATGAGTGTAATCACTATGGACTGCAAACATGTACCAATAAAACCTTTTTTAAACATATACCAAGAAAACTACATACCATTCTGTTGGTAAAATTACTGAAGTTCTCAACCAGCACCTGCTTGATCATGTCTGGCTCAGAAATAACAATATACATCCGACGACCAAGATAATACCTGGGAGGAATAAAAAAATTACTTTAAAATGTGTTGCCTTTATCCACTCATTTCTCTTTTCAAAAAAAATCACAGTGGTTTCGAATGAAGGATAAAGTTACATAGGAAGCAAGTGCAGAAGAGACAAGGAAATATACATTCTGATCATAAAGGACAATAGAAGTATGATGATCTGACATCAGAGGTCTTCCACCAGCATTCATGGAATGCCACCTTGAGCCAGTCCCTGCAGAGTCTAGGTTGAGTAAGACACATCCCTGCCTCAAGAGCTTCTATCCTGGTGGGAAGATAAATCTCACAAATGTCAGTGCAGTAAAAACAGATTCACAAGATTCAGCACTAAGACAAAGGCAAAAGGCAGAGGTCAGTGTAATCTGTATTTCCAAACTTGGGGAGGTAGACATTCTAGCAGGAGAAGACCAGTATCCTTTGTATCGCTCCTTAAAGAGTCTAAAGAACATGAATGAACAGATGCTTGTGGGAATTCGAGACGATTAGACTTGCTGGGGGCAGGCTACACATCTGGTTTCTACAACTGAGGTGAAGAAGCTCCAAAGATATTTATGACATTTCAGAAACCGGAGGGCTCAAGCCACTAAGTTGCGGGTGATGACCTCTTTCTGGAGTGAGCGTCTCTGTGCATGTCTTAGTATATATAGAAAGTAAGAATTATAGAACTCAAACAGGCCTCAAACTCGTGATGATCTCCTGTTTCTTCCTCCAGAGTGCTGAGATTATAGGTATTGTCTTGGTGACTTTTCTCATATTGCTGGGACAAAATACCCTGCCTGCAAAGTTAAGGAGGGAAAGGTTGGGGCCAGGGATATAGCTCAGCAGCAGACGTGCCTGTCTGGCACATGGTCCTGAGTTGGATTCCCCATTTAAAAAAAAAAAAAAAGGAAAGAAAGGTTTATTTAGCTCACAGTTTGTGTAGGTTTCAGTCCTCAATCAGCTGGTGGCATAGCACAGGAGCACAGGCATACCACTTCAAGGTAGCAGAAGACAGCAAAAGGTGGGGGGAGCAAGCCTCTTTTCCTGCCTTATATTGTGAGCAGGCTACCACCCTCTAGGGCAGGTGTAGCATTCATACCATCTCCCAGCCCTCCTCTGCACAGGCTGAGGATGTTTACAAAGTGAGAATCTTGGCCTCCTGCTGTGTCACTTCCAAACTTCTCAAGTTGGCACAATGTATCAACCGTAACAGGCGTGAACCTCAACATGCATGGACCTTTCTTTGTATTTTTCAGAGTACAGTACAATGAGGGTACAAAGCAACCAAGATTAAGTAGCAGAGTCATTGTCTAACATGGGGAACAAGTAGGTTATCAGCAAAAAGTGTGATGTCCTGGAGCATGAGTGACATTAGAACACCCAACTCAGAGCTGGAGAGGGGAGAATGCAGGCTTCCCAGACGATGTGAGCAGAAGTTAGTTCAGGAATGCACTGACGGAGGAGGACAGCTCAGGCTGGCTCACTTTGTATCCCAGGCTGGCCTCAAACTTGCAGTGATCCTCGTGGGATTATAGGCGTGCACCACACCTGACTCTCCAATTTAAAATACGCTTAAAAATTATGTAAAGTTTATCACTGGTCATTTAAGAAGTGCAAATTAAAACAACACAGATTCCATCTCATCCCACCAAGAATGGCTATTTTCAAGAAATCAATCAGTAACAAATGCTGAAGAGGAGAAAAAGAAACCCTTCTTCACAGTTGAAGTATAAACTTGTATAACCACAGTGGAAATTAGTATGGAGGTTCCTCAAAGAACTAAAAATAGGGCCAGGGATATAGCTCAGTGGCACAGCGCCTGCCTGGCAAGTGCAAGACCTGTAGTTCAATTCCTGGTACCAAAACAAAAACAAAAACTAAAACTAGAAATTTCATTTGACCCAGCTGCACTCCTAGGTATCATCCCCAAAGAGTTAAAGACATCATATCACTGTGATGTATGTATAACTATAGTTATCGCAGCATCTTGGATTTACAGATAAATTTGGAAAGTAACCTATATGTCCATCAAAAGATGAATGGGTGAAGCAAATGTGTTTATATATAATGGAGCATTACTCTGCCATAAGGAAGGATAAGCTCGTAGGAAAACGGGTGCATCTTGGGACCCTCTTTTGCCAGTGTCAGACTCATTTTTTCATTTTCTAAGTCCTTATAAAGTTAATTATTATGTGGACAGATGAACAGTCAGACTAACACACCAAAAAACCTACAAAATGGGGCTGGGGATTTAGCTCAGCAGCATAAACGCCTACCTTCCAAGAAAAAGACCGTGGAATGGATAAAAATAATAAACTACTCTGCTTTCATGAATTTCAGAAATTATGCTTGATGGATGAAGTAAAAATTGTAACACCATCTGATGTGATCAGAGAATTCAGAAGAAATGCTTTAAAACTGAGCGTGGTAGTGCATACCTATAATTCTAGCTACTTGGGAGGCTGAGACAGGAGGACCACAAGTAGAAGGCCAATCTGAGTAATTTAGTGAGACCCCATCTTGAAAGAAAATTTTTTTTAAAAAAATCTATTTTATTTAAACATAAAAAGAAAGAAAAAGAGGAAGACAAAAGCTAAAACAAAATTTTAAAGTACATTAATCAAGGGGTAACAATGGTACATGCATTGCACATTGTCAATCCCCAAATCATTCACCCAGAGCACAAGACATCTGCCTTCAATTGTCCAAACAATACCAGCACAAATCTTTCTCTTCAAAGAACTCAGAGAAATCTGTCTTAACTATTTTTACGTATGTCTAGAAATGTAGTTTTTTAAAGGATGAGAGAGTGCCTCAGTGGCAGAGTAACCCTGGTCTGATTCCCAGTAATGCAAAAATATTTGTAATAAAATAGTAAAAAAGTTGGGGCTGGGGATTTAGCTCAGCGGCATAAGCACCTGCCTTGCAAGCAGGCAGTCGTGAGTTCAATCCCCGGTACCGAAAGAAAAAAAAATAGTAAAAAAATAAATACTTTAGGCAATTATATTTGAAAAATAAGAACATAAAGGGAAGTAAGATTTCTACCTGTCATTTGAATAATACATTGATAAATTATGCATATTTGTGCACTAATAAAACTATACAGTGCTCCAAAAACTTTAGCAAGTCAAAGGGGCATGCTAAACAGTGTTCAAGTAACCTACAAGTTAATACAGATGAAACAAGCAATGAGGGAACAAAATGAAATAAATATATTGCTATATTAAATATAAATAGAATATCATAATTAGATAACATGAAAACTTGGAGTTTCCACGAAAGCAGTGCCAGGGAGAAATTTACAGCACTGAATCCTACCCTAAAAAAGAGGAAATACCTTGAATTAATAAGCTGTTTTCCTACCCCCAAGAAACTAGAAAAAGCAAAAGAAAAACTTAAGCCATACCAGAAGAAAAAAAAAAAATGATAAAAGCAAAAGCAATGAAGGGAAAACAAAACAATTTTTAAATTAATAAAACAGAAAACTGATTCTTTGAAAAACTATCAGTGAATTTAATAAGCATCTAGGAAGACCAACAGGAGCAAAGAGAAAGGACACAAATCACCAAATCAAGAACAGAAGGGATTCTTACCGTGAATGTGCCAGTCATTAAAAGGATGGCTACAAACAGCTTTTGAAAACTAAGAAGAAATGGACCAATTCCTTGAAAGCTTCACACTACTAAAACTCAACCAACATGAGTGAAACAATCTAAATAATCCTATACACATAAAAAAAATTGAATTCACATTTTTAAGTTTCCTGAAAAAAAACTTCAGGCCCAGATGGTTTCAATGGAGAATTCTGCCAAATATTTACAGAAGAACTAATGATAACTTTGTGTAATCTCTTCTAAAAGATAACAGAGGTGAGAATGTTTCCCAACTCAATTTGTGAGGAAGTATGATACCAGAACCAGATAAAGAAGGTATGAAGAGAGAAAACTATAGGTCAGTATTCCTCAAGTTTCAGCCACAAAAACCTTCAACCAATCAAATCTAACCATGTGTAAGAAGTATTATGCATCACAACCAAGTATATTCATAATAAGTACACAAAGATAGTTCAGTGTTTTAAAATCTTTCCACATAATCCACATTTTAACAGTCTTTAAAAAGATATGATCAGTTCTGTTGGCCCAGAGAAATCATTTGACAAAATCCAGTATTTGTTCACGATAAAAACCTTCAGAATAGAGGGAAATTTCTTCCCCCTGAGAAGGGCGTTTACCAAGGCTTCAGTCATGTGTAGTGTTGGAAAGACTGCACTTTCCTCTAAGATTGGGACAGGACAAGGGTGTCCACTCTCATTCCTCACACACATGGAACTGGAAGTTCTTGTCAATATAATACATCAAAAAAAGTAAACAGGAAGCATATAGATAGGAAAGGAATAAAGAAAACAGTCTATAATCACATGACATCATTGTCCATGGAGAAAACAGGAACTAAAAGATGGTTACAAGATTGCAGCTCAGCATACAAAAAAATCAATAGCATTTCTGTGTGCTAACAGTGAACATGTGGAAACCAAAATTAAAACACAGCACCACTGATATGTTAATAGTTTAAAGAGAGCCTGAATAATGGAAAGACTTATGTTCACAAAATGGAAGGTATCATAAAGAAATTAATTTTCCCCAAACTGGCCTACAGTTAATACAATTCCAAAGTCTCAGCAAGAATTTTTTGTAGATGTAGATGAATTATTTTAAAATATCCTTACAACTGAGTTGTCTTCTGGGAGAATGCTTGCTAGTCAGACTGGTTTGTAACCTGACAAAGTGAGTCTTATATAATACACACGTGCAAGTTAACAACTCAGATGTTCTTAAGTTAAGGACTTAGTGCATCCAGACTTAGAATAAGTAGAACAAGACTTAGAATAAGTAAAATAATTTTGAAAAGAAGGAATGAAATAGAATTAATCAATACATCAGATCTTGAGACTTGGCCATAGTAGTTAAGACAAGAGTATGTGGCATGGGGGAGGGAGGGAGGGGCCTCTG